TTCATTCACTGCTTCCCATGGGCAGGCAGGTGTTCAGCCATCCCCAGGAAAGCAGGGCTCCATCACACCTAACGGTTACTCGGGAAGACAAACGCCATCACGCCGCATGTCCCCCCCTTCCTTCTTCTGCCCCCAGCTTATATACTGAGCATGACGTCATATGGTATGGAATAGCCCTTGGGCCAGTCTGGGTCAGCTGTCCTGGCTGTGCCCCCTCCCAGCTTCTTGTGCACCTGGCAGAGCACGAGAAGCTGAAAAGTCCTTGACCAGTGTAAACTCTGCTCAGCAAGAACCAAAACATCAGTGCGTTATCAACATTATTCTCATCCTAAATCCAAAACACAGCACTCTACCAGCTACTAAGAAGAAAACTAACTCTATCCCAGCTGAAACCAAGATAGTTATTTACAGTATCTATTATTTAGAGTAGTTATATGCTAATCACGTTAATTATATTTGAAATGGTAGACTTCCATAAAATTACAGAACTAATAACAATGCTCAAATAAGGGAACAGTGAAGGAGGCAGAATCCTTACGTTAGCGCTAGCTATTGCTTAAGGAAACCACAGAGACATTCAAACAGGTGTGTACCTCTGCGTACCAGGAAAGCAATTTGCCAAAACCCAATGTGGCTAAATGATGAATGCCCAGCAATAGCTAAGCCAAAGTGCAGTCCTTCTGAATTCTGGGGTCCAGCTCCAAAACTAACTACTGAAAACAGCCTCAGGAATAGTAAACTACAGCAGACAGAGGACAAGAAAGGAATTAGAAGCATTGGTATGGCCCTAAATGGGTCTGTGCATTTCCTGTATCATCAGAGGTTAAAGGGAATAATAAAAGAAGATGTAGGCAGTCCTAGGAAGGATAATCGTGTCTTCTCTACTTCAGTTCTAAACTGGAGAACATGATGGGAAGACAGCTACCCTTGACGTAATCTTTCCTAGCAGTGAAAATAAAGAATTCTCTCAGACTGAAGAGTGGCTCTAAGACAAATCTGAGCAATCCTATCATTTTAAAAGCATATGAGTCAAGGTGGCATACCCAAGAACTCTGAAAGCACTTACAGGTTAAGTGGTTAGGCTGTTAGCAAAAATATGGAGCTTTTGTGTGAGACCTGGAGGGTCAAAACAGTGCACCTGTATTTAAATTATAACTCTACAGTGCCATCTCCAGGCACTCCCAATGAGAGGGGTTTACTCAAGACATTGGGTTGAAAAGGATAGCTCAGTAAACTCTCAACCAAATGCCTCCATATCTACTAGAAGCCACTGTATCAGGCCTATAACTAACACCCACAAACACTAAAACTCTAAAAATATCTGAACTTTTAGGTCCAGATACTCTTGTGTATACTTCCAAGATATGTCCTGACCCAGCCGCAGTGAGAGACTCCAGTGTGTGCTAACCCCGTCACTCCCTGGGCACGCTGGGATCCACGGCAAGGAAACTCGGGTACGACAGCGGGAAGGGGGCCAGGGCATGCTCTAATGAAGTTCTTGGTCTGGATAAGCATGTTGGAGCCTGCTGCAATACACACCTATAGCTCAATTTAGGCAAAGCCTGAATGATCCAGTCAGTAGAAGAACATAGAGCCACTCCATTTAGATTACATAAAACAGATACACAGATAATGCAGAGACCCTGCATCCAGTCAATCTGTCAACCACACTACAATAAAACACCTTATTGATTGTGGTAGGAAAGGATCTGATCCACAAAATTTCTGCAAAGAGACATCATCCCTTGCTGAGCTGGTATAAAATACAGTCTTGATACAGCCAAAATAGCAACAAGGGAGAATTGATGGCAATTATTCTTTGACATTTAAAATTCCTTAAACATTATCCTTCATGAGAGATTGCTAAAAAAATTAAGAAACTTCCCTTTATCTCCCAAGGAAATCTGTTTAGCCACTTAATGGTCCAAACACGCAAGAGGCAGCATCTTCACCGCTGAGCACCCATTGCGTTGTGATGCCAGCAAGTGTTGTGGAAAAGCCATTTACCTGTAGTTATTGTTCTCCTAGCACCCTGACACACGAAATCCCAATTGTGAGTAGGGACTGCCTTCCAAATGAGATCACATGAAAGCATCACAGCGTCCCCACAGACTGGTATTCATAAGCTATCATATAGTGATTCCTGGAGGGCCTTTCCAAAAAGCGAATTTGACATCTCTGGCCTTTGTATCTGGGAGAGAAGCCAGGCGCTTTTCCCAGAAAAGTAATTTAGTTAGACATTATATCACTTTTATTCTTCCTTACTCTAACTTGAAAGGTATTCCAAACTCAAGAGCTGATTTACTAAACAGCTCATAGTGAAATCACTGTAAGAACCATACTAACTTCAAGTGATGTGAAGGGCCACAGTGGACTCTGTATTGGACATCACACATGCAAATTATTTCTGTTAAGCCTGAACAGACTAAACATGCTTTTGATACTTCACTGTTGATTTAGTTATTCTTTCTTTAACTTGTCTAGACAGTTTCTGAAACAATGAATTATTCAGTGACTTCCAGTTCTATCATACAGCTAATCCATATTTCTGTAATAAAAAGGTCATTGATTTTCAACAGTAATTGCTGGATTCACTCTACAAACAGATTAGCAGTCTCAGCATATGATCAAGTTCCCAAAACTCACATGGCATTGAAAGCATGCATAGAATACATAAAGCCAAGATCATAAGTGTACACACACACACATATATGTACAAAATTGGATAGATTCTCTAGCTATGCAGAGATGGATAGATGGATAGACAAATAATCGTATTGGTTTCAGTTGTAACGCTATTGCCTTCAATGACATTTTCTTCCAAGACATTTAAAATCAGTCCCCAAAAGTAGCTGCAAAGGCAATCACAAAACCCAGTTTAGTCTGATTGACATACTATCAACGGTTTTTCAGACTGCAAGGAGGAGCACTTATTCAGAACATCATTTTACCAGTACCTCAGTACATCTTTACGCAGTGTGATCACATTCCATTAAATGATACTACTTCATGAAGTTGGTTATAATAATGATCCCCCATTCGGACACGATCTCAAAATTAAATGAACTAGTTAATTAACCACTGTTGGTATTACACCAGTTTGACAAAGCAGCAATGACTGGCACTGGATAAATGTGGCTGGAATCTACAGTCGCTGTCCGTATTGAGACCATGTAACATCAGAGAGACTTGGCATTAGTCTGCAGGCAGCCTGCAAGCACAGCGCGGACCCTGTCATTAACCTGCTGGAGGCTCATTCCCCCCAGCAGACTGCAGCGTGACAGCACGGGACACGAGAACTGCGGTGCCCTTCCAGGAGGCACCTTGAGGCTTGGGTTGAAATATCATGTCCTGTTGAGCATGGAGTTTTAACCTGCTTCAGTTGTCCAGCCAGCTAGCACATCAGGGACCTAGACAGAGGCATGAGCTCCAAATGCAATCATAGTAAACCATTAAAGGCTTTATTTCAAGTTCTGAATCAGATCTCCTCTTGATCATAATATGTGCTATAAATATGTGAGCACTGAGTCTAGGATGAGATAGTTTTACAAGGAAGAATTAAGACAAGGAGAAGGAAAGGGGAGGGAGAAGGAAACTGATTTTGGTTTCGTATACAGGTCTGTCTATCCAGGCTTCCTTCTTTCTCTCCTTGCAGGGAGAGAGATTTTGAATACAGTGACTGCATTTAAAAAGCATACAATATAGAGACATTATATACATTGCAATATGTTTTACATATATTCTCTGAGTTTATTTTTTCACAGATGGAATAAGCTTTCAAATTTTCTGGAGTCACAAGCGACCATTTTATCCAGTCCATCAGTATTTTTTACGTTATGCTGCTCAGACCCTTCCTATTCTATCCCAAGTAAGATTAATTGGAGAAATAGCTACAGGCCTTAAAATCAAAGTTTACAGCATTTCCAACTCACTGCACACACTGATTTTCACACAGCGTTGTGTTTTCCCCCATGTCTCTCTTTCCTCCCTCTCTGATAAGCTTACACTTCACTCCACTATGCCCAATATAGGAATAAGAGCAGGGCAATGTTTCTATTCCTGCCTTTGCCACTGACTCACTGTATAGTTTCTTAAGCATTTGCATCTTGCAGTTGGATCCTCTGGTATCTAAGAAGACAAATGTGTCTGTTGATGTTTTCTTTAGAATAAGAGCTTTCATAATGTCTCCCTCTGTGTGGATTCTCTTGTGTTCAATAAGGGCTGAGTCTGCACCATAACCTTCTGATCGATGAGGATATTAGTAGGGGTTCTGACTTCTACCCAGATACCTACTTTAATTACAACTGTAGGAAATTAATTTTTTGAGACATCTACCTCTCAGTCAGATTTTCCTTCAGCCAAAAGGCTTAAAATTTGGAGGTAGGGCACTCGCATAAAAACATATGCACGCAAAACAGCATGATCACGTACACTTCCCTTTATAATGCATGCTAAAAAGGAGCTGGAGATATTTGTAGAGCATAATGAGATCCTGGGAAATGGAGATACACAGAGACACTAAAAACAATTGTTTTTATGAGAATAATGCTAGGTAGCTTCTGCTACAGAGCCCTGTAGCACTACTATCTGCTGAATATACAAAAGCACTGCTCTTTCCTTTTCAGTGCTATATTCCCGTAATTCCATCTACTGTCCCATTTACAACTCTTCACAAATATATTCTGTTCTTCAGGGTCATTTTATTGATTGTTAAATAAGAGCAAATGTATTGAGTCAAATTAGCAAGTGTGTAGGTAATGTTACAAACTAAGATTTAGTCCTTAGTATTGGAATGAAAATCAGAGACCCACCGTGATTTGCAGATGTTGGCAAAATCCATGTACGTGGAACTACAGATGGTTCCAAATAAGACAAGGTGTGGAGCTGGCGCTTATCCTACAGCTTGTGTTACTTTGACAGCTACTACTGTTTTAACAAACTATATATTTTATCAGAGAAGATTCTAGATAAATTGTTTGAATTATGAGTTAGTCTTATAGACAAACACATTAACAAGAAACGTATTCCAATTTTCAGTGTCACAGTAGGAATAACACAGTGGGCTGCACTATGAAGACTGTGGTCTCCAAGGCACAAA